GTTGTAATTATTCCTTCATGTCAGCTGAAATTGAATATATATATATTTTATTTATTTATTTATTTAAAAGAAAATGCAAATTAAGCTGTGCAGTGTCATCAACAGGTGGCGCTATAAGAAACCCCAAAGAAGAACAAGAAATAAGCAAATTAAGAGTGTTATAGAATTGTTTTCAGTCAAGAAAGTTGTAATTATTCCTTCATGTCAGCTGAAATTGAACATGTTTCATGATGTTCGGAGACGAAGACAATGAAAGAAGCGGAAACATCTGATCAGTCACGTCAGTCGAATGTTTGTTAAACTTATTCAGAAATTGTGTTTCCATCTTCCACTATTTTCAAATATTGCAGCTACTGCGATACTTCAAAATGCTACTGAGTCAGCAAGTGACACTTCTTGTGCCTGAGTGCATTCAAAAACTATTTAGCTATCTATTTTTTGTACAGCACCTTTTGTGCAAAAATTGATTCCACAGTGCTTTGTAGCCTCGATTAAATACTAAGGTCAAAAATGGAAAATTGCGGAAATGTGTGTTTATAAAGTGCAAAACAAATAAAATTTTAGTTACTTAAGTACTAAAATTAACATAAAAACACACAGAAGTCTAAACTGCTAAAAGTAATGGGGGAAAATGGCTGCGAAACTATACTAGCCCTCAGCACTGGATAAACGGTTACAGCAGACCGCCAAAAGCACAAGCAAAGATTTATTTGAACATTGCAGGAGGGCACAGTAGGCAGACGTCTGGGGGTCCTCCCCCAGGATATTTTCAACATTAAACACTTGCTGCAATCTGATTATTTTATTATGCGACAATTTGTGCCTCTTTTGCATCAATCTGTGGTGTAAACGTATTGATTTATGTAAAAGAAAATACAAAAACAATGGTTCAATGTTAGGGCTGCAAGGTGGCGCAGTTGGTTAGCACTGTTGCCTCGCAGCAAGGTCGCCGGTTCGCATCCCAGTGGGGGCACCGGGATCTTTCTGCGTGGAGTTTGCATGTTCTCCCTGTGCAGTGTGGGTTCTCTCCGGGTTCTCCGGCTTCCTCCCACACAGTCCAAAAACATGCTGAGGTTAATTGGTGATTCTAAATTGTCCGTAGGTGTGAATGTGAGTGTGCTTGGTTGTCTGTCTCTAAGTGAGGCCCTGTGATAGACTGGTGACCTGTCCAGAGTGTCTCCTGCCTTCACCCTGAGTCGGCTGGGATAGGCTCCAGCCCCCCCGCGACCCTAATGAGGATTAAGCGGTGTATAGATGATGGATGATTCAATGTTATTGCAGTTTCTAATTCTTTGCTTATCCTCCGCCCCCCTCAAATCCACGCCTATGATTAAAAGTAATGGTTATATAGCTGCAACAGCTCAAAGTATTTGATGAATGGTTGAAAGAGTTAGCTAAATGCATGAAGCGAATAAAATAGTACAGATAAAAGAAATAGATAAATGGCTCCTATACAGCTAAAGGTCAAGGATAAAAAAACAGTCAGCTTTTGTTACCATGAGTGGTAGAAGTATGAATGCAACTCCCAAAACTGACGTAAAAAACACTTCACTTGTATAAAAGCATTACTGCTTCATATGAAACTGTGGCAAAATGAACACATTTGAAATATGAGAGGCAGATAAAGGATTAGTTCTCGACAGAGCAATGAGGCGAAATCAGCACAAAAGACTCTAAGTTCTGATGCTACCGTTGAGTGTTTTGCTGTAAAACATAACTACGTCATCGTTAGCCAGTCGACCGCGTGGGGATGAGCTGATAAAGTTAATGAAGTCAAGTCTGACGCAACAGTATTTGCAGGATGAGATCATTAGTCACTTGGTTTAGGCTGATTATTCATTTCGTCTCATCTTCAACACACAGCCTCCTGCTGAGCCTTTACACTACAGGCATGTTATATGAAGACAATTCTGCCTTGTAGCATCTATTATTATTCCATCAAGCTACTTTGTCAGACATCTAAAGAGTCGGTTAGATGTGGAGCGACCCACTCAGAAACATACATGGTGCCGGCTGAAAGCTCATCAAGGCGCGGGCAGTAATCCAACCATCCATGGCAAACCAAACAATGTGCAAATCTCTCCGAGTCTCTAAGTCATTTTTGTCTAGGTTACAGTAATCCCTTGGTCTCTGTGCTGCAGTGTGAGCATGCATTTGAATATATTAAAAACTCCGCGGAGAGGATGATAAGCTGAATTTGAGCTCCTAAACCAGACTGTTATTAAGTTTCCTGTGAAAGTTTTACCCAAGGTTGTTCAAAGAGTTTCACTGCGCCGCTCTCAGAGGTCTGAAAATGGGTTATCCTTGGTGCACTGGTGTTCTCCGGCATGCCGAGTGAAGTCTGTCACTTTCATCTTCAGAGGGAATACGTACATTTATATCGATATGTCCATTTGTATATGTCAGCTTCTGAAAACGTGTGAGTATGCAGGTGCATGTACACATAATGAGGGCTTTTCTGTGCATCTATGAGCAAGAAACCAGAGCTGCTACTCATTTCAAAGTGCAGTGAATACAATAAATAAAACACTCAATAATAAAATATGCTCATGTTGAATGCTTCAAAGTCAATCAAAATGTATGTTTCAGGGCTTTAAAATGTGCACAGCGACTTTATAACATTGCGAATGCATTTAAGATCACAGTACCTTCCAGAAGTTGTCAACCTTGCCGTAGACGAGCGACTGGTTCTGCCTTTTGATGTCGTCGATGTGTTTGATGTCGCTGGCGTTGAGGTGCTGCTCCACAACAAAGCCCAAGAAACTGTTGTCTGGGGTGTGAGCTGTGAAAGAAACAAAAAAAAATAAAAATCAGCAGGCATTTAAAGGTAGTAACAGGGAAGAAAGACACAAGAAAGAGATTTTAAGAAAAGATGAGGGAAAAAAAGGGATTGTTTCTATGAAATAAAATGACAAATGACTTCAGTTTTGTTTTATGCATCATTGAGGCCAAAACAAAAATCTCATGCACACGTCTGCTTTTCAGAGCTCAAACAGATCATGATTCCAAAGACAGGCAGAAACAGTCGCACGACACGACACATCAAGCACTCTGGGTTTTTTTTGTCCCTTCCATTCCTTCTTGTGCAGTGATGACTGGTTACTATGGGAACTGTGAGATGAGCAGGTCAAGTGCAGAACCCGGAGCTGGCAGCGTTTTACCTCACAACCATCTGCCTTGTAAAACAATGGGAGGACAAGGGTTTGGAGCGTGGACAGAAGAGACTCCGTCAAAAATGAAAGCGCTTAATGATGTAACTCAAGATGAAAAATGGAGGAACGGAAGCAGAGTGGAAAGCAGGCGCTGCCGTCACCTCTGGAAGTGAATGAAACAGGCTGTGTTAAGGAGGGGGGGGGCGTTTTAGTTGTGGTTTGTGCTGGAACCCCAGGGAGCTGCTGTGGTCAGAGCTCATTTTTACCACAACCTTATTACCACGGAGGCAAATTGAGGTCAGTCAGTCAGGGGAGATGGAATTCGCTTCAGTATAGTAAATAAAGGGTTTTAGTGAGATCATTTCAGCGAAGAATATCAACACAGCAGCTGCAAACTCCACTACCTGCCAGCACTTAAACAAGTCAAGCACTGCAAATATCCTCTGGGCTTGTAACTCTTATGTAATACAAAGGGATTAATCACGATATTTAAACACACGATGGCAGCAATCATGACTTAACTGCTATAGATAACAGGAGAAAGAATGACACACTGCCAAAGCTTTACAAATAAGGTTGTTTATGTCGGGGTGTTGGCTGGAATGTGACATTTAGTCCTGTTCGACAAAAAGCCGCTGTTTGCTCGCTCAATCTCTTCCAAGGCAGTTCACATATTGGCGCTGGCTAAATACCTTAAGGCAAACATAAAAAAAGAAACATGGAGCAAGGAAGTGTGTTATGCAGAGCAAATGAGCCCAGCAACAGTCCAAGCAATTACGGAACAATGACAAAAATGTGCAGTTTCATTTTTCCCTAAATGATTGGAAAAGGCCAAGAACAGAAGGGTTTTATAATACCCTGACTTAACATAATTCATTCCGCAGTCAGAGAAGTATACTCCATGATTCCATTACACTAGTGAAATGTTTCTTTTTGGGATATTTATCACAGGGTGCTTCAAACACTTCCTTTGTTCAGACTTTCTCTAGGCCAAGTGTCACTCAGTGAGAGTGTAACAACATCAAAATGTCATTATACACGGAACTACAATGGCTCAAATTCTAATCAATCACGTTCACATCCTGTTCTTGTTCTGCATTTCCCAACATCAGAACACACAGAGGAAGCTTTTACCCGCCGAGCACTGTCAGCTCACTTTCTGTTCTGTGTGTGGGAGAGCAAAGGAATGTGGGAGTAGCTGTTATGAAGACATCACCAGATCCGTGCGAGGTGTCTGTGTAGGCAGCAGCCCAGTGCAACAACTTGAAATACCTGTGGAGGCTATCTCAGGCTGCCTGACAAACACTGATACTGATTATTACACTGATGATTGCTGCCTTCACCGAGTATGAGTGTAACAATGAGCCAAAAAAAAAAAATCCAGTCTAAACAGTAAGGAATAAGGTTAGAGAAGGGTCTGGCATTCTGGGAGCTAAAAGTCAGGATATTTTGCCCTCTGCTGCTTTGTTGTTGACCTTTTTGTACGTCTCTTTGTGAGTCTCTGAACATTATCTCTGGATTTCCCCTTTAATCCCTTTCAGCCAGCCAATTGTGTGCTCGCGCTGAAAAGAAACAGAGGATTGAGGGATGATGACAAATTGAAAATGGGAAGGGATGGCTGACTTGAACGAGTATTCCTGCTTTCACATCAAAGTAATGCAATGAAATGTTTTGGGGTTTTTTTCAATTTAGTAAATGGTAAAGAGTTAAGTTCAAGATGAGATTTCTAAATGATCTTCTTTAAATGAGAAAAAAATAATGTGATAGTTAGTCTTAATGTATAAGTGTTTCTTTTTATTACATCATTGCATCTACTATCAAACAGCAATCTCTAAATTGTTACCAATCTCATGATACTGCAAATGATACACATAGTGTCCGCTCAGACATAATGTTTCTAATTGTTATGCTATATTACAAAATGCTCATTCCAACTGTTCCTCAAAAAAATACAACCTAGTTCCAGGGGATTCATAAATAAATGGTAATATTTCAGCGCAACACTTGGATGATTACAAGAAACTACGACGGGTTTCTGACGGCAAAGAGGCAGACTTGGTCCTGGGTATTAGGAAGTGGCAGCACTAACACTCATGCACCAAACTAACTGTGTAAACAGGACAGGCTGTTAATTAGTGTTCAGCCCTCTTGATGCATTTGGCAACAGATGCCTCTTCTCCCACTAGAGCCGCCACTCAAAATGTCACTCAACTTGCCACAGCTTCATTCGCTATTAGCTAACAAACAGCCAGGGAGAACAGCGTCGCCGGAGAAGCAGCTGCTTTGTCGCTCTTGACAAACTTGTGAGTAAAAGGGAAGCCTGGACTCACTCCGCTAGACTGGGAGTCAATACTGGTGCAATCTGGTTGAGCTGAGACGAGGAAGAGGGCGAAGAAGTGTCGGAAATACTCTTACAGGCAAGATGTGTTCTCGCAGTTGACAGGGATGCCTGGGGATGTTTGTGTGTCCAGTTAAGAAGCAGTAAAATCCCACTAAATTAGAAGTAGAAGCTGAGCATACATCATTACACAAAGGCACCTGCACAGAGAAAAAAAAAAGCCAGACAAATGTAATCCCAAGTCACAAACTACGGATTATGTGATTAATGTTGGACTTACACTTGGAGACTCACTTTACAAGAGACTAACTTTTATACTGCTGGCCTGACAGAAAAAAAGATTTGCTTCATCAGCACTTAAAATCTCCAGTGCTTTAAAAACTCTACATCAAAGACTTTGTGGTCTTAAAACTTATCTGAATAGGCCCAAAGGGTGAACATAAAGAAGCTACACCTGAAAAGTTTGCACATACGTCGGAGATTTTAACTGTTGAGCATTTCAGACTTAAGATAAGAGCATGAGGAGAAGAGAAATGTGATGATTTGACTTTTTGTAGATCTCATAATGATGGAATAAATCTGGACACATACTTGGCATTATTATATTTTTAATATCCCACAGTGATTATCCGAACATAATTAGCCAAAAAACAAGCAGTATAACCCTTAAAGTAGTGTTAGAAAATGTGTCTGTCTTTGGCTTTCTATACACATGTTAACTACCTAGTGTGTAACAAACACAAAGACACTGCTTTGCCCAAACTTAGTGAATATTAATGAAATATTAAAGATCCCATCTGGTGAAAACCAACTTTTTGTACCTTGTTAACATGTCCACGTGCTGTTTTCTATACGCGGGAAGATGCATCAGGAGCAAAATAAGCCGCATCTACACCTTAAAGCTGCAGTGTTCTGATGACAGTCTCAATAAAACAGATCCAGAATTGTATGATTTTATACGCAATAGACTTTAGGAGCGAATCTCGTCAGTCTGCAGCTCGGTGGGACATTTTGTTGTCATTATACTTCTTTAGAATCCGGTTCAAATATATATGAATTACTATTATATTACAACTTGCCATTGCTATACAGGGATTTAATCGATGACCACAGAGGGACTAGAAATACATTTAATTTTTTTTTTTTTTTTTTTAAATCACGCAGTGGATTAGAATAATGTTGCCATAGTATGTTTGCACAGCTTTTCCGGATTCCACTGTTGAAGCTTTCTGCACCACTTCCAATATGTTAAACCACTGTAATCAATCAAAGCAAGCATTTGAAAAGGCTTAAAGTGATACAGTGTAGGAACACAGCAGGAGGTGCTTAATGACAGTACAATAGGTGTCAAATGGTGTGTCTGTTTGCTAATCCTACTGATGATGCTTTTAAGAATTCAGTCTTTTCCAGTGTTGTAAGAAAGACATTTGTGCTTTGGACAGCATGTACAGAAGGCTTGTTGGAGAGACACAGTCAGAGGCTGCACAAAACCGATCTATTGATCCCACACAGATAAAAAGAAAAGAAAAACTTAAGTGAAAGGGCGTGCCAGCGACGTTATCAATCAAAGCCTCACAGGCACTATCGGGCTGGCAGATCTCAGGGTCAATTACGCAGTTGGCAATGCTTCAAAGATAAATACTATCTGCTGCTGCGTTCAACCTCTGACCAGTATTAATCATTATTGCCGGAAGGGATTAAACATTCAGCTGCAGGGATGCACAAAGGAAAAATGTATATGAGACATATAGCGGACCTTTGGTAGCATGTCAGTGCACTTTAAAGCATCAGCTTTTCAGAGTAAAATGCTTTCTTAAATCTCCTGTGAAAGAGTAAAATGGTTAAGATGTGTGCTTCACCACATTGTAAGAATGTATGTGCATGGCAGTAGCTTCACACAGGTGAAGTATCTTTGTGACAGCAGTGCAAAAGGTGCATTTCTTCTAAATAACTGGATATGAAGCCCAGATAAACCTGTTTGCAATCAGGTTAGTTCACATCACATACTACAAAGTCCTTCATAACAAACTTGTCTTTAAGCTGATAAAGTGCTCCATAATTCAATTACGCTTAAAAGATTTCGAACCCCGACATCTCATCCTGACCTACAGCGAAGCATAACTGCATTATATTTGCAAGTGTTCAGCCCTCCAGATTATGAATGACTCATGCTAGCACACGAAGGCGACTTAACTAAGACAGCACGGTCAAACACAAATTGTATACTAGAAAATACTCCCAGCTATCCTGACTCCGAAATAGATTAATGAGGTCAATTTGGCCCTGTCTTGTCTTATTGACCAGAGGCCACACACTCCCAATTCCCCCAACCAATGATTTATGGAGCACTGCCTAATCGTAACAAATGGACCAATCCAAATCGAGAATAAATTACCAACTGGAACCTGATTTGACCGTTGTTACATCTATATTCAATAGGTGAGTTGAGATACAATATAAAAAGAAATATAAAGATTGCATTTAATTTATATTTTAACAAAGTGGCTTTGGAGTTGGGTTTACCTTGCTTCAGGTGCTGCACTAATAAACGTTCAGCTAAATATGGGAGTTACCTCAGCGTCACTAAAATGTCCAGAAGCTGTACATTTCAGACACTGTCAATCGAAACTGACAGAAACACCTGCTCAGACACTCACACTACTTGTTTGACATGACAAGAAAATTCCTGCAATGCAACAACAACAGGAGACCCAAGGCAGCTACTTTGACATGGCTAGAGGTGTTCATGTAATATGCTATTTGCGACGCATGGTTTGCATCCTGTTCTAAAGCCTGAAGGTAGGGTGTTGTGCTGCACAATGGAGAGCGGGGAAAAAAATCCCAGTCTTTCTCGTCTCTCGTGCCTGGAAGTGATGCCATTCTGTGGTTTTAACACTCCACCAAACCGCCGTGCACTTGTTTCACCAGCGATATCATCTAACCTAGCGACTCTTAACTGGATTTTGTGCAAAGGCCCCAGTGTGTTATGAGAAAGACATACCCTATTCAGCGGACAAAGGGCCTATTCAGGTGCAGTGGCATTCTGGATCGCTCCAGGCCTCACCTCGCAAACGGGGATTGTAGGGGTAACATTTCACTTTCTCTTAGCCATGGGGAAAAGGTCAGTACCCCCGGGGGCTGGCTCCCTTTCCTCCCCAGAAAATGCTCTCTCCTCTGCTGCGCCGCCAACGCTCATCCGCCTCAACAAATGCAGTTGACTCCAGTTACAGACTGATCTCACAGTAGCAGCGATGCACACACACACACACACACACACAGAGCTATAAAACCCTCTACGTCCTACATTCATAATCACAGCAAAATGGAGAGCTGAGTGCCTGACCTCTTACTTACTAATCTGCTTGATGATAGTCCATTAGCTAGCACCGTGCAGGATTTTCAGAGGATCTTTGATGCCTCTTTTCCAACAAAAACATTATTTTATAGGACAAAATCTAACTGGAACCGTGCACATTGAAAACGGCCAAGGGTGCTGAACATTTCCACTGATTTATGCTGTAAGTAGCCGTGTTTGGCAGCTTAAATGGGGGACTTAAAAAGGTGATGAAATCTATCAGAGTCATGTTGTGAAGAAGAAAAGTGTTATTCTCAGCCCTGCTGCTCATCATGCTTGACAAGCTTGCATTTTGGATGCATCTCTGACCTTTTTGCAGTGCTGACCTGTTGATTTAGAGGTGGTGGTTTCATTATGTGAAGTTAAATACACTATTTTTTTTTAAATCCAGCATGGACCACAATTAAACCTGTTTTTTTCCCCCAAAGGAGAAGCACACAAGCCATTTTAGCGATGGTTGATAGGTATAATTTTTAAGAGTATGTGTGTTGGAGACTTACGGAACATGGTGTTGAACTGCTGCGGGTTGAGGTTCCACTTTCCCCACGGCGTCTTGTGACCCTTGGACTGGGCATAGTGGGCGTGGTTGAACTCTGGTTCCGTCCCAAAAGAATCCAGCACCCGCAACATGCACCTATGACATCACAGAAAGACAAAGGTTTTAATGGCTGTTCAACTAAATCAACTAAAGGTCAATTGCTTAGAGGAAGTGCTGTTTCACATGGTGTTCTCCAAGGTATTAGCACCAATCTATAGGCCTTCTGGAGTGTCGGTTAGAAACAAAATGAAGCGCATAGCAACATGCCCACGATTACATAATTTTGCACCTATTTAAATCACGCTAGTAAGCCTGAAGACCCACACAAACTCAAATTAACACAACATGACACTGGTGAGGATCTTCCCATTCTTGTGGTGGCATTACTACCACCTCGATCTTCAGTTCCTCAGATGCTGGGAGTGCATTAAAACTAAGTGTTCCCTCTTGCAGCCAACAGTAGAACCTTTGGTGTGCTCATTCTGAATGGGTCACCACCTTTAACTCTACGACTATTTGTTATTTCTATGTAGAAACTGGATATTCTTACTGGCTGGTAAAGCTGGAAGGCAGTGTCTTCATATTTTCAAAGCTTTTATTTTACACCCCAAGTTTGTAAAATACAAGACGCAAAAAAAAAAGTGTTACCATATGGGACATTGAAATAAGCTTATGAATGCCACAAGAGATTTAAATGTATTTTGATGCTGCAAAAACCATGTTTTCTGAGTTATGACGAGTTAAGAAAGGTCATCATAAGAAAAGCAATACAAAAGTATTTAAGAAAGTCCTCAAAAAGATTTAATGCCACGGTAGGAAGAAAAGCGTCCGATAGTCCAATTATACATATATATACAAAATGGAAGGCAATTTTCTTCAGCTTTATTTAAGAAGACAACAATGAAGCCTCCGTCCCCAGACTCAGATAGTGAAGTCCGCCCTGTGGAGGTATGAGACTGTATGAACATCATGGCTGACTCAAAGGTCACACTGCAGGATTAATTAGACCAAAACCAGAGGATGGAATCGTAAACCGCCTGCTGACCTTTAACTCCACGCGCCGCGCTCTCTGACTCCCTCATTGTTGATTGTTTGTTGTCGGCACTGTCCCCTCCTGTTCATGTTTTTTTGTGTTTAAGAAGGCAAAGGGCCAATGAGCTAACATCAATCTGTTGAGTTGGACACAAATTAGACTCTTTTCATATTGAGCCTGTTTTATTGACCGTCTCGTGCCAGAATTTTCTTTGGGGTAACCTATCAGTATAAGAGGCAGCCAGCTGTAAGCAGACCTGGGAGGCAGGGATAAACACACATTTCTCTTTATGTCACACACACACAAAGACATCTGCAACTAAAAAATAAAAATAAAAAAAAATCTCCCTCTCTTTTAGTGATTGTCTCTCCGCCCACCCAGACGCTGCGCAGCTGGCTGTGTGAACTGTGAAGGGCCCTGGGAGAGCGACGAGCTTGGAAACAGCTTCACCGGGAGGAAACTTTAGACCGAAAGCAGAATAACAACAACAACAACAACAACAACATGCCCACATGCCATCTCCGGTCGCTCCAGAGAAAAACAACCCTCATCTGTCCCTGGTAGATGTATTCTCAGCAGATGGTGATGCGATGCTGGAGCCGTAACATAATGTAAATATGGCTGCAGAGAGGCCAGTGACTCGTGGGCGTCGTGATATGACAGGAGACGAGGCTGTTCAGCTCAACAAATACGCACTGGGTGACACATGGTGTATTATTCCAATCAAGATGGGCTGAGTGGGGATGGGGAGTGTAATTTCTCCACGATGTAATCCACCTGAAGTGATGCCAGCTGCATAATGTATAACAAGGGCTATTGTAAATAATAAGTTTGTCTCCTGTCAAGATGAGCTCCCAGGTGAAATAAACACAGCAGTCCCATGTGGGTCATTAGGAAACTACGATATCGCACAGGAGTTTTTGTCTTATAAGAACCTAAATGAGGGACATATCTGCACACCCCTGAGGCAACACACAACAGCTGGATGATATGCAGACATATCAGTTAATTGTCTGTCTTGTAAAAAGCACGAAATTGTCATCCGGCTAATAACGTCTCATTATTTCCTGCTATTTTTAGATCCATGTGAACCAATGAAATTCCCTTTTACTCACAGCGTGTTCGAACATTAACCTGAATTGCTGCCATTTATATTAATCAAGCAATAAATGAATACAGACAAAGGTTATGATGAGCTCACATACATGTTTTAGTCATGTGATCAGCTGACCAAAACAGTAGCTGTTCAATCATAGCTTAGAACCTATTTTTAGATTTTTTTTTATCATGTTGAAAAAGTCAAGCATCTGGACAGATTTATAGAAATTTAGAAGTCAAATGGCAGACATGTCTGGTAACTGGTATATCACAAGTTTTTAAAATCACCAGAAAACTGTCTCACAAAACCATCTTGCAATTGCTAAAATGTACATCATGGCTTGGTGAGGCCTGCTCTCTAACAAAGTGTAACGTCAGGTGATGAACCATGGCTTGCTATCATATTTACTGTAGATGCATCAACTGAATCCTTTTGCATTTTTTGTCTAAATCAAAAGCAAGTGAGGAAGTGACAAATGAAAACAGAGAACAGAAGAGACAAAAAAGCTAGTCACGGGACAAATATGGTAAATGATGAAATCAAACTTGTGAGACATCACGAAACTTAAGGCTGATTTTTCGTTGCTTCAGTTTCACTTCTGCAATTTTGTTTTTAAAGTCAAACATATGATTTGTACGCACGTAGCACATTTTCTGCACATTTTCTGCACATTTTGATGCAGATGGAGGTATACTGCCTGACACAGTAACTGGATAAAAACATTAAATGTAAAAAAAAAACAACAGGTCAACACTGATTCTAGTTTACACAGACAGAACGATAGTTTAGAGTGTTCCCATTCCTCTGGAGTTGTGTGAAACACGGTGATACAGTACCGTAAGACAGATAGCCACAAGACTAGAGCAATAATAAAACACATAAATCACACACAGGCCTGACAGACTTGCTTATTTTCTATCTAAACACAAAAAATAAACCAGCAAAAAAGAGAGAATAAATATCAGACTTTACTATTTACAAGATTTGGAGGACTGATATGCAAACAAACGTTGCATGTACAACAAACAACAAATAAAGACAGAGGTAGCTTCACAAAGGGTTTGTGGGCTTGTCGGGCCACAAAGGCTAGAAATGAAATTCACTTCTACCAGGAGACAGGAAAGTAAAAGACACAATGGCAGAAGGACCAAGCAGGGAAACTGATTAGGTTACACTTTGTGAAAGAAGAAAGAGGAGAAAGATGCTTCCAACTTGTACACCAAGTCTTCTTTCACAAAGAGCCCAGAAAGCGTACAGTGGCATTAAGTGCTCTGACATAAATGCGCAATAATGGTGGGAGAAATAATGCAGCAAACAGCATCTGGACCTTACATTACGCCTGAGGCTGAATCAATTTCCTCGGGGCACAAAGTGAGCGGATGCGGTTTAAGGTGTTATGTCGCAGACAAACAAAACCTGGTGACAAGCAGGAGGAACCAGCGGGGCCATTAGTGCCCCCAGACTTATTGTTCCTTCTCTTTTCCTGTCAGTCGGAGCTGACGGGAGCTTTTTCAAAACAAACCAGGACGGCCTAATCTACAGTCCTCAGCGGAGCACTCGGAGAAAGAATAGACTCGGTCGCTGACAACATCATGAACAACAGACGCTCCTTGGGCCTTTTGGGAAATTGTGGTAATGTACGAGCAGAAAATAGACTCATTGTCCCAACAAGTGCCTGACAAACCTCAACCCAATGCCCAGTGCCCACCATGAAACCGCAGTGGGAAGCCTCAGCACAGGGGTAAAGACCTGTACAAATTACTGAATTCACTGACTGGCTGACATAATGAGATAAAGAAAAGAAAAGGTTCGGCCTTGTTTAATCAGTAACTTACAATGTGTGATATGTAACAGCTTGAGCAGGTTTGCGCAACAGCAAACTAAATTCAAACTTTGGTCCCACAGGGAAGTGTAAAAATATGTGGGGAGTTAAAACAGACACAGCACGCTCAGCAGGAACTCCCTGTATGAATAAAGGTAATAAAAAATATATAACAAAATTACAGCAGCAAGCATTTGATTCTGTGGAGTCTACATCCGTCAGTGGGCAAATTTAGGCTTCATCAAAGCTGACAAACTTAATCTGTTTCTTACCATACAGCATTTTAGGAGTGTTAATATACAGCATAAAAAATAGTAATAGTGCTTCTCACGTCAGGAAACTAAGCATCTTTGTCCTTATTCAGCAAAAATATTACGTTGAATGTTTTATCACTCTTAGAGAAAATACATTAAAGCTCCTAAAAACAAGCTTGAAAAAAAAAAAGGGTTACAATTAAATTGCATAAAATTAAACTGAACAACTTTTGAAATTGTGTATAACAGTCAAGATGTGTGTCCTGGCAACATCACCACCTCTGCTACGATTCAAATATGGCTAAATCCTGACTGGTTCATGGAAATGCATCACATTGCATAATACAATGAAGTCCTACCAACTTAAAACTAGTGCAAACAGAAAATAGTAGAGAAAATACACTTTAGTGGTCTTAATATGAATGTACTTACTGGTAGTGGACCCAGGAAGGCCCCAACGTCTTCTTGAACTGGGTGAGACCCACGATGTCAATGTAAATAAGCTCGACCACCTTGTCACCCTGAGTGGGGCAGCTGGATTTGTTCCCCATAACCTTCCGCATGATCCTATGAAAAAAAAAAAAAGAAATTAAAGTCAACTTTGAAACCAAAAAAAAATGTGTCAAAACACATAACAAAATGGTCCTATCTCTTTTGGCTTCTGGTTTCTGTACTTTATGTCACTGAACAACCTGTAAAAGGTCAATTGGTAAAGTCAGACTAAAGGCAAACTGCAAGGGCAAATAGTTTAGCTTAGTCTGAAAGACAAACTCAACAGTCTGCACCAAACCGCATCCACGTCAAACAGCATGGCCGTCCAGAAAGGTCATAGTTGGCCAACGTGGCTTTATGTACCATCAAAAATTAGGCAAATAACACGGGAGCTACATTTCTTTGACCCTCAGGCAACTAAGTCAGTACTGCAATTGAGGATGAAGGTTTATTTAAAGACAGAAATGGTTATATACGAAAGGTCTGAAATGCTGATTTTAGGTCCTATTAACACAGGGATGCATCATAAGTTTTCCCATTTTTTTTGCTTTTCAACATTGTATTATGGAGTTATTTTTGACCAGGATACATCCTTTAACTCACACATAAAACAGGTCTTTAGAATGGCCTTCTTTCACCTGCACAATGTTGTCAACATATTAGTAACATCTCATCTTAGAGTGATGCTGAAAAACTGGTTTATGCATTTGTTGTTTCTAGACCAGATGACGGTGATTCCTTGTTATCAGGAGGTCCCAATCAGGGAAGCGGACAAAGCAAAAATAAAACAAAACAGCGATGTGTTGCTCAAGGTTGAGCTAACTTTTTTCTACCATCTTTCTTTTTGTACCTTTGCTGTTTTTTTTAAAGGGGAATATTACAGTACGCAAGCACTGGATGCAATGCCGACTTTACCAACATAATAAACAACGGCAAAGAAAGCTCAGTTTTAACATCTGTTACTCTGGAATTTCAATCCAAGCATAAGGTTTCACTTTCCACCAAGACAGAAACGTTGTATAACATGTTGACAATTATATCTGATATCAGGGAGCTGCCATTAGAGGAAAACTGAATGAGGTTTGTGGGTTACCACAGTGATGATGCCTCTAATTGGCGATGAGGCTTTTAGGAAGTGATGTGTTAACATGCTGGAAAGATGCATACAACAATTTATTCACATGAAAGTCTGCTGATACTGCTGCTTTTGTTCACCTGTTCATGTGTAATTATTTTCTGCAGTTTCAGTCCAATGTAAAACAAGTTGTCTGTTTTTCCAACACAGCACCTTAAAAAGTTGATTTAGGGTGCACTTGTGGCAATACTCAACCTGTTTTCTACTCACTCTTTGAGCTCAGTCAGGGAGGCGGAGATGCGAACGTCGTGGCCCAGCAGGTACAGCGTGGTTATAAGATCACTCCACTGGACCAACTCGCCCAATGGGCCACCGCTAAAGGCATTTTCTGCTATCTTGAAGCCCGATTCCTTGGTCAGCAGGCCCAAGTGAACCAGGATCTGTTGGAGGGGAAAAGCAGGGAATTAAATAAGTGACACTGGTAACTAATGTAGTGTAGTGTTTCATTTATAGTTGGAGATGTGGCTGTTTTTTTTTAGTATTAGTGAATATAAGGGAGAACTCAAAGAAGAACTCCATGGGATTCCTATCCAAGGAGATTTACATGGGGAGTGTAAAAAAAAAACATGTTTATCCTAGTTGGAGACTGGAAAAGCAGTTCCACTTTTTATCGGAGAGCTGTCAGGTGAACAATGCACATGCTGAGAAAAACATTCAAGTAAAGTATGAACAGCACACACAAGCGTACACACAGGAGAGCTTCCAGGTGCTGAGAGGAACACAATGTTCCACAGCGGGAGTAGAAAGAAACAGCAGATTTTGTTTGAAGTGACCGACGCGTTTTATTCCTTGTTGACAGCCAGCCTCAGTGCCAGGGCACACTAGTCAAGGATTAATATGGGCGGATTAATATCCAAAAGAGATTAGCAGCTGAAATAAAGAACTGGCTTTGAAAGGAGAAGGAGGAGGGGGAAAAAAAAAAGCTTTTTGTTTAATTATAGACTGAACAGATTCAATGGAAACGCAACAGTTAGGAGGGATAGGTAAGAAAACACAAACCGATAGATGTATAGATGAAGAGGGTTCTTGTTTCTCTCAGCTTTGCTAAAGGGGATGCTGCTTTGCATCAGCGCCAAGGTATCATGGGAATGTGATGTGAATTATTCACAAGGCCGGTGAAAATTGTGAAGTACATTATTCAGTGCTGGGAGCTGCTACCAACTTGGGACACAATGGAATATCCATGTCACTCCTTTCCCACCACCATTTCTTCTCCAAGCAAAATTGGGGCAGCCTACAAGTGTGAATAAGTGCATGGTTGTGTACCTGTGTGTGTCTGGCTGGTGTTTGTTGTCTACCTTTTTCTGACAGATTTTGGGAGCTGGTTTCAGAAAGTTCTCGACATTCTACTCACTTTTAGGGAGAAAAAAATAGTATTTTGCTAATTCAAAAGCAGCATTCTCCCATATTAACTAAATTGGGAGTTTGGCTTATTTTACTTGCTGAAAATGTTTCTGTGGGTCTGTTGGCTGCTTTAACTAATAACCTCGGACGTTTTCACATGGTATTCTGTCACCAGCTGATACGTTAATTACACCAACAGTACATCCAGCTCACAAAAGCTTTTCATCCATTATTCTGAGCACTGTGTCTAGTCAGTCTTTCCTGAAAAATGCCCAGCATAAAGGAAGCGACAATTTCATGTTTCAGACAGCGTGAACAAAGGTTCTTTAGCATAAACAACTCTGTGGTTAGTACAAATATGAACAGTGATCCTGCCTAAAGAAACCAAAACAAACTCCTCAACATAAAGGGAAAAAGAACTCACACTGACAAAGGAGGATTCTGAATGTATCGAATGTAGTAAAAATATCCTTTAACTGAGAGCGATCTCACTTGATTCCCTCATTTCTTCGGGGTGTTTCATGTCACGCTCACCTTCTTCCTCCGTCGCTTGGCCAGGTTCTGCTTGGCAGCCAGCGAGCGAATGGCGCTGACCCACGGCTCAGCCATGCGCTTGATCCTCAGCATCATCCAGCGGAACTCTTCCCGTTGTGACATCTTGCGGTAAAGCTCCTCGAAACTGGTCCGGATCTCCGCCTGCACACACAGTTTACACGGTTTCTGTATATATGCTACCGGGGCTTGATGAGCAAATGTGATCTGATTATGTTCCTTGGCTTTGTGGTACATTTTCAAATATGTGCATGTCGGTCAGTAAATGTATGCTCTTCAGTGGTGTTTGTACTCTGCACCAGAAAATGTGAGGACTAAGCTGTTTCTTTGGAAATCTGAAGACACTTATATTCAGTTTGTTGTTGTGGGTTTCCTTCTATGTGCTTCAGTTCTCATGACCTCTTTTATCAAACATACACTTCTAGGTTCAGCGTATCCAAATCAGTGACACAACCACTGACAGAAACTTTCCTGGTGAATCCTGTATTCTTCAAACAACAGAGAGCGCAAAGCATCTGACATGTTTAAGATTCACAGAATAGGGAACAACAGGGCATCAGGTATGGTGAAGCTAAATTAGGAGGTGGGTTTCTGGTACACAATCAAAGCTCTGACCCTGTGGTGACCCCATTGGCTAGTTCAACTCTCAACTCACACACAATTTCTACAGTTTTACAGTTTCACTTTGCAGACGCTTTTATCCAAAGTGACATACATCTGACTGCAAATACAACACAAACAAGGATCTAGTCAAGAGAAAACAATCCGGATAAGTGCCATAGGACAAGTTCAGGTGTGATAGGGCGTTGATGCCAATAGCAGGCTGTAGGGAGGTAATAGGAATTTTTGTTTGTTCGTTTTTTGTTTTCAGTTTGTCAAATCCAAAGGTGTCAACCCAGATTCTACCAGCATAGCCCTCAAAAAGTGGATTAATGCTCCTATGTTGCATCTAAACAAGAGTCTTCATACACATTTAGACTTGTGTGCTGGTGTGACTGTGGAACTCTGCAGTTAAACCACCAAAACACTAGTTAGCGGTGGAGTCTTAACGCTGCTCTGTTGAGTTTCTTTGTGCACTTGAAACACAGGTGACTGAAACAGAGCAGATCATGTGAGAGCTAATTAATGTTGAACAACAGTTACTTTTACCTAAATTACTGCAACACAGAACAGAGAGGAGGCATCAGAAGTGACTGTACACAGCTTGGTAAAGCCATGGAAACAAGAAAGCTTGCTTCTCTTTTTTTTTTACAACACCTACTTTGCACTATAAGCAGGAGAGATACAATTACAGAGTATTATACATGCAAAACACAACATTACTACCAAGTGGAACAATCCGTTGTTGTGGTCTATGTTGTCACAACATGCAGCCACATTTACGGGGAGGTGCACGTCCAGCTAAAGCAGCCATGGCCTTGGTTAGGAAGTATAAATCAAGCCTAAGCTTTGGGCCCTACTGGCTCCAACCATGTCCACTGAAGAAAAGCTGATTTATTTGGGAGGAAAACTCAAGTCACAAAGGTCGTATATACCTGGGATGTGGATCTAAGTGAGCCCAGTGTTGGAAGTCTTTACAAGGTAATAGTAATAATCTAAAAAAAAAAAAAGTTCAATTCTTTAGTGATCATTTTGGGGAAGCACAGTCTTTTAAACCTCTCATTCATTCTCCACCTGGAGAGATCAAATCTTACTGCTTGGTCAACATTTACACTCAGGGCGATCTGATCTGTTCTAATTCTAAAATATTGCTGTATCATCGCTCTCTGTGTTGCTAGGAAAACACATAATTATCCGAGTTACTGGTCTGTAGCAGAAATTCCCCCACCTGCATACAACAGTGTCTGTGCTCTGTCCCTCGCTAACCTCAGAAAATAACGAATCTGTTTCCTGGGGGCCTTTAAGAACCGGCAGGTCAGGATGATCTTCATTCCTCCTCCACCCCTCTGTACAATGTGTGGACATGTTCTTTATCTGAAGACAAGTGATATGCTTTGTTAAACGCATATCTTACACACTTGGGTTTCCTTGTAGCTGCTTTTATCTTTCTTCCTGCAGCTACCATGACATAAACCCAAAGCAGTCTTTAAAATTTCTATTTCATCTAATTCAGAATCACAACATTGACTTCCAAACTGCCAAAGGGTCATTTTCTTGGAGTGAGATTGTTCGAGAAGAGCTCCAATAACACCACAAAGAGCCCCAGCTCAAGTCAAACACTGCATGGTTACGATTAAAAGGTTTGTCCACACTGACTAAATCTCATATCTTACAGATTGGCAGATGGATTAAATGGATAGGAAAAGAAAAGCAGAGCTGGGCTGCAGATGGATGAGTGGATGAATGAATGTTGAATGTAGGCTTTAATGTGTTGCACTTGTCAATCTCTCTGTGTTGAATGTGTCCACTTCAAGTGATTCTTCTTAGTGACAGCAACCATGGTAAACTATCGCAGACATCTGCAGAGGAAATATTGTACGGAGGACATGTTTGAGAAGTCTGTAGAGTGTAAATTTATACAGAAAAATATACTAAATTCACAAACGCCGCACTGTATTTATAGAGACAGAAACAACAAATATTAAAGCATTCAAAGCACCAAGTCTTTCATGTTACAAGCAAATGTGGGTTTTGGCTGTGTTGTCTGAATGGGG